CCCGAACCCGGACACGAATAGTATTTAGGTATAAAATTCAGACCCATACCTAGACCCAAGGTCGGGTCTACCCGTTAGGTATTAGGTCTAGTCGGGCCTATTGCCACCCCTAACTGCATGTAAAAAATGTATATTAATAAAAAATGTATATTAATATTTTATTCCTAGACCAGTCTAAAATAATTTACTTTTTATTTTATTAAAAGGTTTTTTTTTTTTGACAAGAGTATATTTACTTCATTAATAATAAAAAGGAGCTACATGTACAACAAAAAAAAGAGGAGAGAAAAAAGAAAATATAATAAACAAATTCACCAAAATCAAAATGTCATCCATCTCCACTCCTTTTATTCGCAAGACCATAAGCCACCGTATTTGCCTCTCGATACACATGCTGAAAAGTTATCATCATTAGATTGGAAATGTCCATGATTCCATCAATTTGCATCTTAAAGCCCAAGGTGAGATAGACTCCTTTTTGCACCAATTGATCCAATTGATTGTATTCAAAGAGCCACTCTTAATAATACACGGAACATTCCTAAAATGCTAAATCAAGATACGCACACCTTGGAGAACAGCTTCAACCTCCGCCAAATTGGCCGAAGTTCTTCCACATGGTACACCATAACAAATAAGCACTTCCCCATGCGAATTCATTATCACCCCTCCAAAACCAGCTGGCCCAGGATTCCCATGTGAACTTCCATCAAAATTTGACTTAATAGACCCATGTAGAGGTGGATACCACACCTGAACTGGTCTAGCCTTAATGATTCTTTGGCATATCAAATTTGACATATCTAAGCTAATATCAGCCTCAATCACACCAAATCCCTCTCTTGTTATAAATAACCAGCTCCAAATAGTGTGTACAATTCACCTCTTAACTACCCCAAATTTGGATTATCTACATTCAAATACCCTCTTATTTCGTTCTTTCCATATCTTCTACAAAACTGCAGCTCTTGCAATCAGCCAAATCGTTTTTCTAACACCCATGAGACCTATAAAATCCCAGTATTCCAATTTCAGAGTATGAAACATCCAACACCATATATTGTGAGTAAAATAGCAGTGTAAAAATAAATGATCACCACTTTGGCGTCTTCTTTACATAGTAGACACACATTTACCACCACTTTTCCCCCCTTGATGAGATTGTCCACAATTAAACTTTTGCATTGAAATAAAATCCATAAGAAACATCTCACTTTCAATGGCACCACCCATTTCCAAATTTTACGCAATGACTCCCATCTCCATCTTAATCTATCATAAAATAATAGATCATATGCATATCGCACTTTGAATTGGGCATCATTATTTGTCTCCCTTATAATTTCATCGTCTATAGTTTGTGAGAGACGCCTCCTTGGATAATAGTCATAATTTATGCAAACTGTTGAATCACAGTATCTGGCACCCTATTTCTAGACAACTGTACATTCATCTGTGCTACCCCACCTCGCATATCCACAATCTCAACTACTGTCGGGTACTTATTGATTGACAATTCAAATAGATCAGGAAACTGGTGTTTTAAGATTTCCCTTCCACCTTTCCACTACCAAAAATCCACCTCGGACAACTGAGAAGCAATACTCTCAAGCCCAGATGACTAATTTGATACATAATAATGCATATCTTTTACATTGTTCGGAAACATGTTGAATTACTCATTTTCCTCTACAAAGTAAATTAGAGAAGTAACTTAAGTCGGTATTAGTTTTTGGAAATTATATAATGGTGAGGCCTAAATAAACTCCATCTCTATAGACCATGGACCCCATTAATTTAAAAATAATAATAATATGAAACACATTCTTTACTTTTTTTTCATTATTTATATTACAATATTTATCCTTTTTCTTTTTTTTTTCTAGTGACCCTGTCATCCAAATAGAATTTTTTTTCTAGTGACCCTGTCATCCAAATAGAATTTGGAATTCCACAATTAAACAGCTCATGATGTTCACCAAATGTGTGCGAGAGAAAGAGAGAAAGAGATGTTTTCGGGGGAGGTTGAGAGAGAGATAGCGCGTGGAAAGGGTCTACGTATGATAGAGAGAGGGGTAGCTTTTCCAAAGTTTGGATAACAAGGTCATAAGAGAAAAGACAAATGATAAATATTATAATTTAAACAATAAATGGGTAGGAAAGGGGCTAAACATCATTTTCTTTTCATTTAGAGGGGGTTTATGGGCTTTCAATGAAACTAGGGTTTATTTGGGATTTTAATTATATGAAGGAGATGTATGTATTTTTCCCTTACAAGAGTGCTTATGTTTGATACAAAGGCCGAACTCATCCTTCGCCGTCCAATGTGAGATGTAGTGGCTAGGTTTTGAAAATCTTTCTTAAGGAAATATATAATCCAAGGGATCAAAACCCCTTGCCAAATCACTATAGTAGTTAAAACATCTCAACTAACATTAGAAAATTCACTTTTCAGTTTTCATTTCACTTAGATGCCTCTAAAAAAAAATCTTTCAATTGCCCACACAGTTAATATTTAGAATTTTGAACCTAAACAAGTATGTGCATTTATATAATTTGATGCACGCTTGATCAAGCAGAGGTACTCTCCTCTTTTAATTTGGAGCAAAATAGTGGTGGCTATGGGCCGAGCGGCCTACCTAGCCTAGTCAGCCTGTCCTAAAACCTAGGGCTTAGTCCAAAAAATGTAACAGGCCAGACATAGGCCAGCCCACAATTGGGCCCAGTGTGACCCTTTTTTTTCTTTTCATCCCCTATCCCACCCCCCTACACCCCCAGCCCAACCCTAACAAGGCCAAGGCCCGGCCTGGGCCACTGCTTCTTTAGCACTAGCCAATCCTTGGCACGGGTAGCGCTTAGACAATCCCTAAGAGGACTAGGACTATGATTACCCAGCCCAAGTCAAGTTCATTGTTAGGTTGCTCAAGTTATTAAAATGCCCATTCTATTTAAGGTTCCCAACCCTAAACAAGGATAATATGGGATATTTTAGTATCTAAATGACGTACCTAACATGAACTAAAAATTAAAATATAAGCCCTCTATTGTTCGTTGTGATGTTTTTGACCCTCTTAATGAGTTTAAAAAGACGTTATAATGTTTTAAGTGAATTTTTTCTCTTTTTAGACTTTAATCAGTACTTGGTTGAGAGTCCAGGGACCTTGGTATGGTTCTATTGGTTTGGCAGGCTGTGGATGATTTGTTGGCACATTGGTCTGTTCCTTTGCCTTACATTTGGCCAGATCGGTTTTAAGGGAAGGAACGAGTACTTTTGAATTGAAGCCATGTATATTTTGGATTATTTCTTCTCTTACCTCTCCTTGCTTTGCCATGCCATCCTGTAATTCCATGTAATTTTCTCCAAGTTTGTTCATATGTAGTTTTAATGAACATTGAAATATGCTATTAATCTAAACGCTATTAAGCCAATCATTTAGATTCCTATTACTATTTGTTACAAATGCCACTTATCCTCTCTCTCTCTCTC